TTAAATGGAGGTAGGGGGGGGGGGGGGGTGGGGGTTTTATGTGGGGGGGGGGGGGGGTTGGTGGGGGTTTTGGGGTGGGTTAGTAGGGGGTTTGGGTGGGGAAAAAAAAATTTTTGGCGGGGGGGGTGGGGGGGGGGGGGTGGGGGGCATGAGTCCGTGATGGAGAAGGCAGTAATCTCATCGCACGCCGCAAAATTCAGATTGATCCTGGAATGCCAAAATGCAAGTAAGCGTTTATGAGCCCATGGCGGGGGAGGCAGTGATCTCATCGGACGCCTGACAAACATGGCCAGATTTATTCTGGACAGGTACAAGTAGCCATCGCAGGGTTTATCGATTAAGCAAACATGTCGGATAAAGAATGCAATCGGGGAAGTTGGGTCAGGGTTAGGGTTAGGAAACTAGGGTCTGCGTACCCCCTCCTGTTCTTTTTCCTCTCATAGCACTTAAATTCTCGCGAAGGAGGTCCTTCTGGAACGTATCCGACAATCAATCTGAAAATCATGTTTTTTCGGCGCGGGGGAGAGATCTAGACGGTGGAGGCTGTCTGGTATGGGTAATGCAGCGAACTGGCAGCCATGGCGAACGACCATATCTCACGGGAGCCCCGGCCCTCTACTGCAAGGGGGCACGCCGAGCGGCATTTCGGACGTCTTCCTCCTCTGGCCAATAACTGCTCTTGCCTCAGTTTGGTATCTTCGGTGTTCCTATTTATTTGCTGTGGTTCCGTCATGGGCGGCTCATGTTGACCCGCAAAGACACAATCGCCGGGTGTGGTACTCTGCTGGCGTCATGTGTTTGGAATATTTTCTGGGTGTGATACATGGCTGGTGAAATTATGGCAATAACTCACGGCCAGCGGTGTCGATGACTTGGTTGTCGAAGATCTTGTTGTAGGACGACCCCATGGACAACCGGATGCCCTCTTCGTTGTCCGTGCAGACGTTGTCGCTAATCTCGATGCCTGTCATAGACAAGAACAAAGGCGAAACCAGCAGAGATAGATACAGACAGACAGACAGACAGACAGACAGACAGAGATAGTGGGAGAGGCAGAGAGTGAGAGACAGACAGACCAGGCAGTCCAACGGAGACCAGCGAGAGGCGGCCATAATAATTGTCGGCAGAAATATCAAAAATGCCTGGCGGCGATAAAGAGAGAGAACAAAAAAGGCGGAGGGAGCGACAGACACACAGATACCGCAAGAACAACACCTTGCCAACGTTGACAACACGCGCTCGGTGAGATCTTTTATAACCCGCCCTCTTCCGACCCCCCCCCTACGGTGTTTGCCATCGGGGTTGGGTTTTCGTCGCGTGGCAACGACGTTGTAAAACAAGCCGCCGCCCCCGGTGTTTGCCATCGGGGTTGGGTTTTCGTCGCTTGGCAACGACGTTGTAAAAGAAGCCAAGTCACTTCGTGAACTCGGCAACCAGGTTTCCGTGTTTTTTTTTTACCTCGGTTTTTTTTTTGGCGGTAACCATAATGGTAGTCGAGTAGATCATGTTGTGCGGGGTCGAGAAACCTCACTCCGCGCAACGGGGGATGATCGCACCACGTTGTGTTAAAATGGTCAAGCATCCTCGAGGCAGCTACACAGTGCTTACAACTGTCTCTGGGAAGTGAAAGCACCAGAAAAATAAATTAAGTCATACGCAGCTGTCATCCGTATGCAAGGAAGTAAGCACAAAGATGCCGAACACCCTTAGCAGGATGTAGCTCACCCTTCATGCGACTCGCCGAATACTTCACGGCGCTTCGCGCTTGGTGATGTGAGAGCCTGGTCCGGTGAGAACCCGGCGTGCTCCGTCCCGGCTTAGTAGGGATGCGAGGTCAATGGTCTAACGACTACGGCATGCACGACTATGGAGTACACCACCCCCCCCCCCCCCCCCCTTCTCGGAAGACGACGTATTTTTTTTTCTCCTGGTTCCACAGCAATCGGGCAAAGGAAACTCGGCACAAGGGGGTCTGACAATCACCCTCACGAATGACGTAGCGAGAATGTAACAAAATTCAGCCACGACGAGAGAGGATAAACCAGAAGAAGGCGTGCGGAGGGCACATGAAAAAAGAAGCCAAACACGCAAAAAAGAAAACGAGAACCGAAAACATGTGGGCAGGAGGTGTAGAAGCGTTGTCACTATGATAAGCTTTGCGAAAAAGATTAAATCTGATAGCTACAAAACAGCAAGAGTAGCAAAACGCATGACACACAGCCTACCGAAGGACTCGAAGATGGCGATGCAAGCGCTACCGGAGCCGGTGACGGTGTTGTTCCTGATTATGCCGTTGTCCGAGGAGCGGTGGAGCATGATGCCGTGGAGGGCGTTGTCGAACACCACGTTGTTCTGGATGGACACGTCGTTGCACCTCTTCGACGCGATGATACCGTGGTTCCCTGCAGCACAAACAAGTACAACCGTATATAAAATTGAGCAAGACAACTGTAAGACAATAAAATACATCAACACTATACAGCCGTGGACACAATATCTGTGATTGGGGGCAGGCACATACCTCGCGTGACAGCAGTTGCATATGCCGGCAGAACAACCAGGCAAGAGGAATTCCAACGGTCGTGAATAAAACGAAAACACAAAATGCGTGACCCTGGCCTGAGATAATCAAGCAAGCGATGGGAGGAATAGACAGAAAAAAACAATTCAAACAACTGTCAAAACAACCGACCACACCAACGTGCTCTACTAGTGTTGGCCGCTACGGCAGTTCCAATGAAACCGTCCCAAACAACAACCGTCCCAAAATGCATGGGCCTCTCACCGTTTTCGTACACTATGTTGTTGTGGATCCTGAACCGCAGACAGCAGAGAATGGACGAGTGAGCGGGGGGATTGCGAGGGGTAACACGCTCATGTTCAGTGCAGTGTTGCACACAGGATAACACCACCCAGCGAAACTTTTGGCCAAAAAAAAAACATAACCGTGTGTGTTTCGTGCATGATGTGCATGCTGCTGTACATTATTGCCTATTACTGACCCCCAAGAGTATATTCCGTTTGGTGAGGAAGGGTTGGTGGCGGGGCGGGGTTTTCTCTTACGGTGGTGCGATATCTTAGGGATAGCAGGAAACACAGGCAACGGAAGGAAGCCAGAGGCTCACTCCTGTGCACCAACTCACCGCAAGTTGTCCGAGTCGTCGTGCGGGTCGAAGCCGTAGTACCTGAGAGCGACACAAATCGGTGCGTTTGGTTTTGTTTCGTTCCACGGCACGCGACACGAGGGCACAAGAAGGACAACAAGGGCGGTAGGAATGAGAGGAAGCGACAAAGGGAAGCAGAGAGAGAAGCGAACAAGGTGGGAGAGACAGAAGAGACAGGAAAACATGGAGGTATAAAGGACTCCATATCTCGCTGAGCGGTGGATTGGCGCAAGTCTCGCCGCGCAACGCTTGTTCGACACTCTTGTCGCGAGAAAAAATTGCAAAATTTTGCTCCACGTCGCGCGATAATAATCAACAGCAGAGTCTCCAAAAATTTCGCAAGCCTTTGGCGCGACTTTGTGCTCCCATAAAGAGTGTGCACGAGAAAAGTTACAAGTTGCGAGACAAGTTTGCACTTCAATTTTCCCGCCACTTTATGACCCCAAAAAAAGCGACGTTAGCCTCGGCTTCGCCAACTGCCGGATGACCCCCTCCCCCCCAAAAAGCAATTACTTTCTCACCCGGAGTTGCGCATGGTGTTGTATTCCCACAGCCCGTCTTGGTGTCCGTACGAGTACCTGAAAATACATAGATACAGATATAGATATAGATATATAACAAACGACGGGGTGGAACAGAAACGGCCACGTGTGAAACGGCGTGTATTGTTTCGTTCCCACCGCCCGCAAAGCACCAATACGTAGGACCTCTGGTCTCCATCACAGCTTTCTGACCCTTCCGAATCTGCAACACAGTTCTTAGGCTCCCCCGCAATTGCGTTACACAAAGCGGGCGGACACAAATCCGGAAAAACGAAAACAAAAAACATGTCCAAAATACAATACTCACTGTCCGAACCAGTTGTGGTGGATGTCAGAGAAGCGGATGTCTCCCCTAACGTTAACGCGGTCGAACACCTCCGGGTTGGACTCGTCCGTGCAGTACCCTCGCACCTGCATGTCATCATTGGACGTCCATTCCGTCAGACGTACGCTGCAATGGCACATAGCAGTTACGCATTTACAGTTGCTATGGCGTGTAAGCAGTTCTCGAAAATCAGTGAACGTACTACAACTAGCACCTCAAAAAGACGGTAGAAACAACACGACACAGAAGTGTTGAACGTTTGTGCGCGCGAATTCAAAGGCAAGGAAGAAGGGGGTCGGTCTGGCCATGCAGCATCAAGCACGAGTGATCCGGAGGGCACGATGCCCGAGGGGGGGGGGGGGGGTTCACCGCGGCCGTTTTTTTGGGGTTTTCTGGTTTTTACCTTTTTGGTTAGGCCCTTTTACTTCCCTTCCTTGTTC